TAAAAAGCTTCAACTGAAAATCCTTGCTCAAAACAGGCGCATTGTAAACAACCGTTTTCTTTTGTTTGAAATGTTTGTTTTAAATGTTTCCGTTCAAATTTGAGTGAGCACAGCTTTAATTTACCTCCGGTATGTGATGAAACCACTTCATATGCATTTTGGGAGTTGAGGTCATCACCCTAACCCATTAGGTTGAGGAGACAGGGTCTGAGTTGAGTGGCTGTTTGAACCACTTTTTTCACATTCAATTTCATTTTATTTGTGTCTCTGTCCATCTGTCATTGTCAATTATTTCATAAACGCAAGCAGAGAATGTTGCCTTTCATTACTTAGATTTTGTTTGTAATTGCATTGCAAGCTTCCCCCATTTTTCACCTGCTTTACGGTGTTGAAACATCTGCAGTGTTTTCCAGTGGCCTTACTTTTGTCTTTTCTAGTCATACAACTGTCTTGTGTATTTTACAATGTGTTTTATTTTTGTTTATGGATGCGACTAAAGAAAGTCCATCCTCCTCTTCTCTCTGTCCTCCCCAAGGCTTCTTCAGCAACTGATATTCAAAAGCCTAAGCAACTAAAACAAATCACTTTTCTTTTCTATTTCTGGTCTGTAAGAAATTGTAAATGTTGCATTTAAGTGTAAAAAAATAAAAAAATAAAATTCTTTTTTCTGCCGTCCAGACCGCTGTTCTACGGTGTTGTTTCCTTGAAAATAACAACAAAGTCGATCTCTTGATTCTGCATTTCAATGCTTTCATGTTTTGGTTTTCCTCTGTACATTGCAATGGGTGTGAAGATAGTATTTTAATATTTGTATAAAGTTTAATTTAATTCTACCATGTGTATATAACTATTTCTAATTAAAGCTTTCTTTTGAAGTGTGTGTGTGAGACCTGATTTTGTGTTTTTACATTGAAGATCATATTGGATGTGTCCGAAATGGCGTCCCATTCCCTATATAGTGCACTACTTTTGACCAGAGCCCTATGGATCTTGGTCAAAAGTAGTGCACTATAGTAGTACACTGAAGGGCCATTTGGGAGACAGCCCATATTGACATTTCTAAACTGACAAAGAATGCAGGCCAGAGGTATTCCACTACAAATTCAAATTCAGCTGAACATGGTTTCCACTTCCACTGCATGGCCAAAAGTACAGTGCCTTGGTTTTGTGTTCGATTTACCCAGATCGTTCCAGGTGTACATTGCATTTCGTTACTCAAAAAGGTTGCAGAACATAAAATAGATGAACGATGGGGTTAACCTTTATACAGGCAATGATCATTGATTATACCCACTGATTCGGCCCATGATTCAATAAAACTAATTAAACCTATGTTTCATTCAATGCAACTGAACGGTTGGACCTCCACTGTATAAGAGGATTCTGACCTGTAGCTTCCATGTTTTACATCGAAGGAAGCAGAGAAGAATACACAGTTTAAGAACACCTGAATTGATGCCTAAAATAGGTCAAATCTGTGTTTAAATGGGTTTTTATTCAGTGGCCCAAAGATTGATGTGTAGTAAGTAAGCAGACTAAAAGATTGATATACCCATGTGTAGTAAACATATGAATGAAAGGCCGGTAGAGAACCGATGCTTGAAGGCCTACCCACTGTGACCTCCAGGACACTCCAGGACAACCACACCTCATTGTAGGGCAGATTTATGTCGGAAAACATCAGCCATATTATCATGATACTAGCTAGCTGCGCATCTTACTAACAGTGAACAGCACCATATACCTGTAAAGCGCCATGCCATTTTCACCCTGTACTGTGACGACCACCACAAACCATTATTTTATGTAGAATGTGAACCTTGTGACTGGCTTTACAAGTGGGATGCACTGTTGAGCGCTACATCCCGAGGGGTTCGTGCTGATTGTAAGGAGATTGTGACAGCCGGTTAGATGGCGTCTCTTGACAAGGCAAGAACAAGATGTATGTCAGGAGAAGAGCAGTATTATCATAAGGAGAGTTATACTTGGAATACGGAGGAGGAATGGAGGGAAAAAGAGGCAGAGGAGGTCTAAGAGAGAGGGGGGGGGAAGGGTGAGCTTGAGTCGGTTAACAGTGGCGGGAAAAAAAAGGAGATTGTTAAAGAAGAATGGTAGAAAGCGTAAGCAGAGTGAGTTGAAGACAGGAGGAGAAATGGAAGTGAATGAGGGCGAAGTATCGGAGGTGGTAGGTGCTGTGAATTTCTCGGAGCCCGAGGCTTGCAACGAGGGTCAGGATAAAGATGAGTCTGTGACAGTAGGAGTGAAGTTTGGGGGAAAAGTGGAACCTTGCCTTTTGGCTGATCCATTAGTGGTTTCAGGGAGGGTGAAACTAGAGTTGGATGCTGTGGAATCGGTGAAGGTAACCAGAAGTGTTCTGGTGATAATTGTTTGTGTTTCTGCTGGTCAGAGGGAGCAGGCGATCCGCGTTAAACGACTGGGGACAAGAGATGTGAATTGTTTTGCTCTGAAGAAAAGGGCGCCATTGAAAGGAGTGATTACTGGGGTAGCGGTAAATGTGAAAGCTGACCAACTGAAGGGGAAGATTCCCTGTGTTTGTGATGCTCTTCGTTTGGTGCGACGCAGACAGGTTGGCGTGGGTGGAGAAACAGAAGTCATTGTCTGTTCTTTTGAGTTTTGATGTTGAGTCTTTGCCCGACAAAGTGATGTTAGGATATATAAGTTATCCTGTACGAGCTTTTGTGCCGAATACATTACGTTGTTACAGGTGTCAAGCTTATGGGCATGTGGCAGCAGTGTGTAGGAGGGAGGTACCTAGGTGTGAGAAGTGTGTGGAAGGGCATGAGACAAAGGAATGTGTAGAATTGGGGAAAGTAGTGGTATGTGTTAATTATAGGGGTGCCCATGGGGACTAGGGATCAGCAATGTCCCGTGCAAGAGAGGCAGGTTGAGGTTTCCAGGGTTAGAGTAGTGCAGAAGTTGTCATATGCTGAGGCAGTGAAGAAAGTAGAGGAAGATGGGTCAAGGGAGAGGGATCCTGAGAGAAGTGATGTGAGTAGTAGATCTGTACCTGTACAGAGGGATAAACCAACAAGTGATATACTCTACCGTTCAAAAGTTTGGGGTCACTTAGAAATGTCCTTGTTTTTGAAAGAAAAGCAATTTTTTTGTCTATTAAAACAACATCAAATTGATAAGAAATACAGTGTAGACATTGTTAATGTTGTAAATGGCTATTGTAGCTGGAAACGGCTGATTTCTTATGGAATATCTACATAGGTGTACAGAGGCCCATTATCAGCAACCATCAGTTTGAGAAACAGGCGCATTACAGGTCCTCAACTGGCAGCTTCATTAAATAATACCCGCAAAACACCAGTCTCAACGTCAACAATGAAGAGGCGACTCCGGTATGCTGACTTTCTAGGCAGAGTTGCAAAGAAAAAGCCATTTCTCAGACTGGCCTATAAAAATAAAAGATTAAAAAAAGATGGGCAGTCTGAGATATGGCTTTTTCTTTGAAACTCTACCTAGAAAGTCAGCATCCCGGAGTCACCTCTTAACTGTTGACGTTGAGACTGGTGTTTTGCGGGTACTATTTAATGAAGCTGCCATTTGAGGACCTGTGATGCGCCTGTTTCTCAAACTAGACACTAATGTATTTGTCCTCTTGCTCAGTTGTGCACCGGGGCCTCCCACTCCTCTTTCTATTCTCGCATCTGCTACAAGACCATGGTGCTTGCCTACGGAGCTGTGAGGGGAACGGCACCTCCGTACCTTCAGGCTCTGATCAGTCCCTACACCCAAACGAGGGCATTGCGTTCATCCACCTCTGGCCTGCTGGCTCCCCTACCTCTGCTGAAGCACAGTTCCCGCTCAGCCCAGTCAAAACTGTTCGCTGCTCTGGCACCCCAATGGTGGAACAAGCTCCCTCACGACGCCAGGACAGCGGAGTCACTCACCACCTTCCGGAGACATTTGAAACCCCACCTCTTTAAGGAACACCTGGGATAGGATAAAGTAATCCTTCTACCCCCCCTTACCCCACCCCAAAGAAAGAAAGAAAGAAAAAAAACTTATTGTAAAGTGGTTATCCCACTGGCTATAAGGTGAATGCACCAATTTGTAAGTCGCTCTGGATAAGAGCGTCTGCTAAATGACGTAAATGTAAATGTAAATGGTTAGAGCCAGAATTGGCATTGGAACACAGGACTGATGGTTGCTGATAATGAACCTCTGTACGCCTATGTAGATATTCCATTAAAAATCAGCCGTTTCCAGCTACAATGGCCATTTACAACATTAACAATGTCTACACTGTATTTCTGATCAATCTGATGTTATTTTAATGGACAAAAAATGTGCTTTTCTTTCGAAAACAAGGACATTTCTATGTGACCCCAAACTTTTGAACGGTAGTGTATGTTTCAGTATGATTGGATTTTCGGCATTAATAGCAATGGTTATCAACTGTACTGCAGGGATGGAACGTAAGTCGCAGAAAATAGAGGTTGTGGTGGCAGCTGCAGAGAGGTATTTGGGTGTTTGAGACTTGACATCAGAAGAGTTACAGGGTGTGTTAAGTGGTGGTGTTCCATCCTTTCAGGCTGTTGGCCTGAAGTAGGACTAAATACATTTAAATAGTGGAGTATGGTATTTATTATTTTATTGATTTTGTGAGTGGAGTGTTAGGGTTGGATGGTAGGGTATTTGTTGTAATATAATTTTTTATTTTATGGCAAGTATAAGGGAGTTATACTCTAGTCCCCTGTAGTTCAGTTGGTAGAGCATGGCGCTTGCAACGGCAGGGTTGTGGGTTCGTTTCCCACGGGGGGCCAGTATATAAAATGTATGCACTCACTAACTGTAAGTCGCTTTGGATAAGAGCGTCTGCTAAATGACTAAAATGTTCTAGTAGGTGGCGGTAATGCAACATTTATTGGATGCCAACCGCCGTTAAACCTCATCGAAGAAGAAGAAGAAGAGCTTTGTGATTGGGTGACATCTAGCGGCTAGAGAGTACTGCACCGTGTCATTGAAACGCAGAGAGAAAACGGACTCCATTTTGTGTCCTTCTCGCTGTGTTTTTAAGAGGCAGTAAGCGGCAAGACAATCTCTCCGAAGAAAAAACACAGAAAGGTATGTTAAAATTAATGTGTGTGTACAATTTAAATGGACGTAACTAATGTTAATGCATTATTGCACTAGTATTGCCAGTCGGAAACAATGTAGTTAACAAGCTAAGGTTTGTTGTTTATCTTGCGATTGCAAATGCAATCACAAGGCCCAAAATATGCACGATGACTGTGTCGCAGCTAGCTAACGTTAAGGTCACGATAAATGTTCGGTTTTGATACCTCTCCGGGATGACTAACGTTATACAGGACTGCGCGGCTTTATATTTGTTTATTTCTCTAAAAACGTGTCGACATTTTAAATTCTCCAATTTGTGAACTATGCAATTCTAGTTAGCTGAAATTGCTAATGATGTAGGTGTGCGCAGAATATATTTCTGGTGTGCGCGTCTGGAGTTAGCTGCCACGAAGTTGTAACTACATAAATATTTGTCATCAAAAGGTTTTTTTCCCCTTCCTTTTACTGTTTTTGTTTTCAGATAAACATCCTACATTCAGAATGAGTGGCTGCCGCATATTTGTCGGCCGGTTGAACCCGTCCGCCAGAGAGAAGGACGTGGAGAGGTTTTTCAAAGGATACGGCCGCATCCGAGACATCGACCTCAAGAGGGGCTTTGGTTTTGTTGTCAGTACACACACACCTACACAATGTATTTTCACACTGTATTGTCCGTAGCTCCGGGCTAAGTGCAGTGTGAACGCGCATACAGGCTTTAGTTTTGTGGTCAGTCCACACACAATGACGCACATGGCATAAACCCTCAGTTACGAAATCTACTTGCTAGCTAATTTTTATTTTGGCTAACTACATGGTTTGGAAAACCTTGTAGAGAGGTCTATAATAGATAGTCTGAATGTTCTAATATGTTGTTCTCCAGGAGTTTGATGATCCTAGGGATGCTGAGGATGCAGTTTATGAACTGGATGGCAAGGAGCTCTGCAATGAGAGGTAAAGCGGTGTTATCGCTGGTCATGATGGATATTACATATCACCACGTTGGCCCATATATCAATAGTCCTTGGGTATTATATGAAAATGTATGCACTCACTAACTGTAAGTCGCTCTGGATAAGAGCATCTACTAAATGACTAAAATGTAATAACAGCCTTGCAAAGGCCTTTGTTCTGTGTCTTAAGGCCTCCCTCTCATCTCTCCCCCCCCCCCTCTCCTCTCTTCTCTCCCCCCCCCGCTCCTCTCGTGCCCCCCCCCCCGCCTCATCCCCCCCCCCCCCCCCCCCTCCCTCTCCCACCCCCATCTCCCTCCTCTCCACCCTATCTCTCCTCCCCTCTCCCCCCACACCCTTCCCCCCCCCCCCCCCCCCCCCCCTCTCCTCTCCCCTTCCACCCCCCCTCTCTCTCCCTCTCTCCCCCTTTCCCCCCCCTCTCTCTCTCTCTCAATTCAATTTCAAGTTAAGGGCTTTATTGGCATGGGAAACGTATGTTAACATTGCCAAAGCAAGTGAAGTAGATAGTAAACAAAAGTGAAATAAACAATAAATATTAACAGTAAACATTACACTCAGAAGTTTCAAAAGAATAAAGACATTTCAAATGCCATAGTATGTATGTATGTGTGTGTATATATATATATATATATATGTGTTGTAACAATGTGCAAATAGTTAAAGTACAAATGGGAAAATAAATAAACATAAATATGGGTTGTATTCTCTCTCAGGGTGACCATTGAGCACGCCCGTGTGCGCCTGCGTGGTGGCCGGGGACGTGGTGGCGACAGAGGAGGTGGTGGAGGCCGCTTCCCAGATCGCTACGGCCGTGGCTCCCAGGATAGTCGGAGGTACGTGAACTTAAATATGATCAGCTAGCCTCTTACGAATCCCAGTGGGGACTTTCCACGCTCCTCGCTAACAGATTCCAGAAGACTGAACTGTCCCTTTACAAGTGGACATTTTAGACAAAATATCCCCAAGGAAAATATTATTAAACCAACTTCAAAACGCAGCTTTCTGTGCTTTCATGGTTTGTTTATTCATACCGAGGCACGCATGCATATGCCAGGTGATAGAAATCTCAACGCCAGTACCAGCATTTTAAAAAAAAAGTCTGTTTTAATAATACTTTCCTGTGGATATTTTGTCTCAAATTTCCATAAGGACCAACCAACCCAGTGGACAACCGGCAGAGTAAGTTCAAATGGCAGTTTATTCAACATTCTGTCTATACAAAGCACCTTTCGGAAATTTGCAATGGATATAAAGCCAACCTTATCTAGGAGGCCAGCAAACTATCAGCTCAGTGGGGGGCCAACACTGCTCTTCAGATCATCCATTCTACTCCCTGTTGTAGTATTTGATCTGTTATTTCTAGTCAGAATCATGGTCCCGTATACATGTAGCATCTCAGAGTAGGAGTGTTGATCTAGGATCCGATAAGCATGTTAGATTATAATGAGTGGACGGGGGGGGTGTGGACGGGGGGGGGGGGGGGGGGACACTGATCCTAGATCAGCACTGAGGTTCTCCTACTGTTTGTCTCTCCCTCCACAGCAAAAAGTATTGGGCCAATGGGTTTTAGCCCACTAAGGGAACCACGGTTCTAGATCATCTGCAAGGTTCTCATACTGTTCTCGCTCTCTCTCCCACCACAGTAGGAACCCCCCGCCGATGCGTACGGAGAACCGTCTCATCGTGGAGAACCTGTCATCTCGCGTCAGCTGGCAGGTGAGATCCTTACCTGGGCGTGTCTACCCATCTACCTTACCTGCCTGTTAGTAACAACACCAGGTGCTGAGTAATCAGAGGGGACAATGTTCGGCTTTATACCTTATACCTTCACTAGTGATGATCTCAAGGCAACTGCCTGGTTCACTCCAGGTAAAGACAAATTCATTCAATCATGTTTTTTACCTACATTTATTGGAGAGAATGTGGTAATATTTAATGGACTGAGAGCAAATGCATATGAAAATCAGCAGCACTAGCTAAATGTGTTGTTGGGCTCATTTCTCCTTACAAAGTATTTAACTATAAAGAGCTCTCAATACATAGCCTATCCAGCTCTCTCCTGAGAGCTTCCAGTGAAAATAACCAGCCATAGCTATTTGCTGCATCTAAAGAATGCAGTTTGATTAGATATACAAAAGAGAGGAAAAACAAACTAATTTGTCTGTTTTTATTTATTTAAATTTTAACCAATTCTTCACCCCTTTATTTGCCAGCCTGACTGTTGTGTCGTTTGGACGAGAGCTCTTATGGTGGAGTTAACCCAATCAGGGTCCCTCTCTCTGGGTTGAGCCATGTCGTGCCAGCCAGTGTGCCAGTCGGCCTACTCCTAGTTGGTATCCTCCTGCTGGTCGTATGAGTGCTTCCTCGCTTGGTTGGGGGTGAGGTCCCACCCCTCCCCGGGTCCCACTACCCACTCTGCTCTAGAAGCACTGGCGTGGCTGGCGGCCACTTCGCTCGCACTCGCTGCCCCCCCCCCCCCTGGTGGTGGGGGGGGGTTCAACGGCGGGAGCGCTGTGCTGACAGAGAGGGAGAAATCGCAAACAGAGAGGCAGATGGGCAGAAAGAGTCGATGATGGTGTTCATGATGATGATGGTGGTGGCTGGCGTATTGGTCTGATCCATGGTGGTTCGTAAATTTGAGAGGCTTCAATCGATCCATATCCCCCCCCCCCCCCCCCCCCCCCCCCAATTACCCCCGTGTGCTGTGGTTCCGTCCGCACATCGCGAGAGGTGCCCAGAGGTGGATAAAATCTGCTGAGCGAGGTCACGAGAGGTCAAGGTTGGATCACGAGGTGCGATCAAGGTGGTTATGGTATGATGGACTAGGAGAGCCTGCTGCGGCCCCGCTCCAAGGGGGTCACAGGTATTGGTTTCCTCTCTTCCTCTGTACTGAGACTGAGGGGGGTGCCGAGCCCTAGACAGGGTACCCGTCCCAGGCGTTAGGGGGCAGGGAGTCCTGTGCCCTCGGCTCCTAGCTAGCCAGAGACAACCTTATTCAATATGCTGCTGAACACTGCTGCTCATTCAGGCTGTTCTACTTATCTTCATGACTATTCTGTGTAGTTGTTTTTAAAGAGAGCGGGGTCCAAGAATGAAAAATTTTAACTCCAAATTCAAAGATACATTTTTAGGTCAACCAAACGTTTGTCTTTTAGCTTCCTCAATTTTACAGAACCAATTAGAGATTATTTTTTAATGTTCTTCCGGGAAGACTTTATTCACATTTTCCTTTTGCCAAGCTCTTTTGGCCTCGCTGCAAACTAGTTTCTTAGGGAAGTGTGGCGTTTACGAACAGCTTCTGTCAATTTGGCTGGTTACACACATCAACATGCACACACAGACCTAACTGGTAACTGGAACAACTCCTTTTTGAACACCATGACTTTGTTGCTGGACCAGGCAGCCAGTCATTTTGCTGAGATCTCTGAGGTTCTTGGACCCCTCTCGTCATCGGTTAGCCTCTAGTTCCTCCTATGATATCTAACCTTTTCTCTCTTTGGTGAATATGATGCATTATGATGAGTCTGTTGTCCTGTTCCGGTCCTAACTTAGCCTGTCGTTGTGTAGGACCTGAAGGATTTCATGAGACAGGCTGGGGAAGTCACGTTCGCCGACGCCCACCGCCCCAAGCTCAACGAAGGGTAAGAATAAAAGCCATTCTGCCAGCTGTTCTTTCTGTACGTGTAGACTTGCCGACATCCATACTCCTCCTAATAACTTTTTTACATTAAACCACCATGGCAGTTGTGTCCTACTGACCCCTTGTTTTGTCGTGTCGGTCTTCAGGGTGGTTGAGTTCGCCTCTTACAGCGATCTGAAAAACGCCCTTGAGAAGCTGTCTGGCAAGGAGATCAATGGAAGGAAGATCAAGCTGATTGAGGCAGCAAAGAAGAGGTGAGTGGTCTGGAGAATAATCCCTTCTAGATGTTTCTACTAGTGTTTCCTCTAAGTACCTGAGGAGGGCAGAATACATTATCAGAGCATTTGAATAGGGCCTCAGTGACGTGATAAGAGACGACTGAATGTTGGTTTGACCTTTTCTCTTTCGTCTTCTCCAGGGGTTCCAGGAGTCGTTCCCGCTCCGAGAGCTCTTCTCGTTCCCGCTCCCGTTCTCGTAACCGTTCCCCGTCCCGCTCCAGGACCCCCCGTCGTTCCAGGTCCCACTCCCCCAAATCCCGCTCCCCCAAGAGGGACTACAACCGCTCTCATTCTCGTTCCCACAGTGGTTCCCCAGCCCCCCGTGGAGGCGCAGGTGGTGGCGCTGCCCCCGCCTCCCCACCCCCTAGGGCCAAAGAGACCTCCTCTTCCTCTAAACGGCCATCCAAGCCCAGCAAGTCTGCCTCTCCCCACTCCCCTCCCCCTGCACAGCGTGCACCTTCCAGGTCTCGTTCCAGGTCTCGCGGCTCTCGCTCTCCGTCCACAGACAGCCGCCACTGAGTATTGAGAACACACTGGAACACCTAACGCAGCAATACACACATTTTTAAATGAACACACACACTAGTACATAAATACACTCACATTCAGACAAATTTGAACACACACTAACCCCACTGTTATATTAAGACTACAGGGCAGGAACTGTTTTACCCAGCGGTTCTGGCCTGGTGTCCCTGTATTTTTCCTCAATGTTTCCTCCCTCCGGCCCCGTCTCTTCTCTTTTGACATAGCTGACCTTTTGACCTACTATTGTATGGTGGGTGTTCTCAGTAAAAGCATCGCTCTCAATGTGAACACAACGAGGGCTTTGTTTTCAATTTGAGCATTTAGTCTAAAACCTTCAGGGGGTTTGTTGGTTATGTTTTTGTTAGTATTTTTACTTGGAATAATGGATGTAATTCTTGGTAAGGTATTACATTTTTTTTTTATATCATTCAACGCTCGTGTGGTGATTCCCCTCTACCGGCTGTTGGTTGTCAGCTCTCATATCATGAACTGTTGAGAATTCAAGTTCCGTTCCATGATGGTTATGAATGTGATTGGCTAAGGTTTTTGGGTTGAACCATTCTGATCACAGTGTAGGGGTGGCGTAAAGTAACGGTTTGGGATTTGATCAGTTTTTATGCTGTGATTATTTTATAGAATGCCATTTTTCAGTTTGGGGGGGTGTCAGATTGTGATCTTTTCTTTGTGGGGGCAGTAAAGATGTTTTATCAGTTAAGACACCTTGTGAAAACATTGGTTGGCTGTGTTATTGAACCCATTTGTATTGAATGTTTAAACGGAGTGGTTACCTGTACCTGTACCTCTTCGTTTCTGTAAAGCATTATACATGTTTCCTTATACGATTTATTGTAAAGAAGCGTACACACAACCTAGAGAATAGTTTGGAAAATAAAACTTTTTTTATGCTAAAGCATGAAGTATGATTTTTTTTTTGCCCCCCAGTATTCGATATGAGGGTTATATTTTGTATTTAATTGAAAAAGAACAAGACACAGCAAACGACCAATGAAAACTGTTTTAAATAAAGCATCAAGACAATTTCTATGTCAGAACTTGAGAATAAAGTAAACTTCCACAAAGAATTGTGCCACTGTAAGATGTTCTTAGTAATTGATCTAGAATTTTTTTTTTGTACGTTTCTAATAAAACATATTTAAAAAATAAAATAAAAAAAGTTTTCAATAGCTTATACACACATTGACATACTGCACTACCATGCCTTGATCGTAATTACACATGTGGTACAGACAGTACGTAGGTTTAATTACCCATTTCATTCAACAAATACTTGTACGTTTGACATACAGTTATCAATTGGCACATCACTCCACCTTTTTTCTAAATGGCAGCTGACGTGCATCATTGTAAATGCAAACGCAGATTGTAAGTGCAGTTACTGGGTGTTGGCAAGTCCACTACATATCTTAATAGTTTGTGGTAAATAATGTCTTCGCATCAATCACCAGGGTCCATTTCAGACTGCTCTGATGTGACTGACTGTTTCTGGATGCTCAAGAGATACAGATCATTCAGAGCGGGAATTCCAGAAGGTTCTGTGAGTTTGTATTTATTATTGGGCATCCCCATTAGCTGTTGCCAAGGCAGCAGCTACTCTGCCTGGGGTCCAAACACATTAAGGCACTTACATGATAAAACAATACATCATATAACATTGTTACACCACTGCATATGTACAATAGAACATGTATAATACCACCATACAACAATATTACAATGTACGTGTGTGTAGAGTGCGTGTGCTAGCGCTTGTGTGCGTATTTGTGTGTCTGTACCTGTGTGTGTGTGTCTCTTCACAGTCTCTGCTGTTCCTTAAGGTGTATTTTTACCTGTTTTTTATATCTGATTGTACTGCTTGCATCAGTCACCTGATGTGGAATAGAGTTCCATGTAGTCATGGCTCTATGTAGTATTTTGTGCCTCCCATAGTCTGTTCTGGACTTGGGGACTGTGAAGAGACCTCTGGTGGCATGTCCTGTGGGGTATGCATGCGTGGGTTTCCGAGCTGTATGCTAGTAGTTTAAACAGACAACTTCTAGCCTTGATTTGCATTCTGATAATAACATATCTACAGTATTTCACTTTTTAATGTGTATAGTATTGCTTACTAGGTGTTGTCCAATGAATTCTGTAACCACTCCCTCATATCAGGGTTGATGGGAAAAAGCTGTTCAGTAGAGGATATTGCATTATATCTTTGTACTCCCCTGACGAAGGCCATGCAACACAATTGTGTCAGAATTTTTAAAAAGGCATTTCAATGAATGATATGAAGACTGCCTTGGTCTTCCTTTCTTTAAACAGACAGCTCGATGCATTCAGCATGTCAACACTTCTTACAAAACAAGTAGTGATGAAGTCAATCTCTCCTCCACTTTGAGCCAGGAGAGATTGACATGCATATTATTAATGTTAGCTCTCCGTGTACATTTAAGGGCCAGCCGTGCTGCACTGTTCTGAGCCAATTGTAATTTTCTTAAGTCCCTCTTTGTGGCACCTGACCACACGACTGAACAGTAGTCCAGGTGCGACAAAACTAGGGCCTGTAGGACATGCCTTATTGATATTGTTGTTAAGAAGGCAGAGTAGCGCTTTATTATGAACAGACTTCTCCCCATCTTAGCTACTGTTGCATCAACATGTTTTGACCATGACAGTTTACAATCCAGGGTTACTCCAAGCAGTTTAGTCACCTCAACTTGCTAAATTCCACATTATGCATTAAAATATTTAATTGAGGTTTAGGGTTTAGTGAATGATTTGTCCCAAATACAATGCTTTTAGTTTTTGAAATATTTAGGACTAACTTATTTCTTGCCACCCATTCTGAAACTAACTGCAGCTCTTTGTTAAGTGTTACAGTGTTACAGAACTTTTGTGAAACATCACAGTACAGTTGAAAAATACATGGCAAATAGAAATCCAATATGGATGGTGTTAAGAGATAGATGGGAGGGGTTGAATGGAGCTGAAGGTTGGGACTAATAACAACTAATAACAACAAGATAACTAATGTAAAACATACTGTGTCCATAATACGTACAGTTGAAGTCGGAAGTTTACATACACTTAGGTTGGAGTCATTAAAACTCGTTTTTCAACCACTCCACAAATTTCTTGTTAACAAACTATAGTTTTGGCAAGTTGGTTAGGACATCTACTTTGTGCATGACACAAGTCATTTTTCCAACAATTGTTTACAGAAAGATTATTTCACTTATAATTCACTGTATCACAATTCCAGTGGGTCAGAAGTTTACATACACTAAGTTGACTGTGCCTTTAAACGGCTTGGAAAATTCCAGAACGTTATGTCATGGCTTTAGAAGTTTCTGATATGCTAATTGACATCATTTGAGTTAATTGGAGGTGTACCTGTGGAAAAAAGACCTCAGAAAAAAAATGGTAGACCTCCACAAGTCTGGTTCATCCTTGGGAGCAATTTCCAAACGCCTGAAGGTACCACGTTCTTCTGTACAAACAATACTACGCAAGTATAAACACCATGGGACCACGCAGCCGTCATACCGCTCAGGAAGGAGACGCATTCTGTCTCCTAGAGATTAACGTACTTTGGTGCGAAAAGTGCAAATCAATCCCAGAACAACAGCAAAGGACCTTGTGAAGATGCTGGAGGAAACAGGTACAAAAGTATCTATATCCACAGTAAAATGAGTCCTATACAGTATCAACATAACCTGAAAGACCTTCCAAAGTTGTGGCAAAATGGCTTAAGGACATCAAAGTCAAGGTATTGGAGTGGCCATCACAAAGCCCTGACCTCAATCCTATAGAAGATTTGTGGGCAGAATTGAAAAAGTGTGTGTGAGCAAGGAGGCCTACAAACCTGACTCAGTTACACCAGCTCTATCAGAGGAATGGGCCAAAATTCACCCAACTTATTGAGGGAAGCTTGTGGAAGGCTACCTGAACCATTTGACCCAAGTTAAACAATTTAAAAGGAAATGCTACCAAATACTAATTCAGTGTATGTAAACTTCTGACCCACTGGGAATGTGATGAAATAAATAAAAGCTGAAATAAATCATTCTCTCTACTATTATTCTGACATTTCACATTCTTAAAATAAAGTGGTGATCCTAACTGACCTAAGACAGGGGATTTTTACTAGGATTAAATGTCAGGAATTGTGAAAAACTGAGTTTAAATGTATTTGGCTAAGGTGTATGTAAACTTCCGACTTCAACTGTATATAGGTAATAGGTTAAGAACCTTTGTGAAAGAGCACAGTTTGAAAGATATGGCAGATAGAAGCAAACCGGATGGACATCATGAAAATGATCAGAGAGGTTGAGGGTAGAGGAAGTTCAGGAGTAAAAACAAACAAAATAGAACTATTGTAAAATTGACTGTGTCCATAAAATGTATATAGTATATATAAGCTGGAAGTAGTGGCCTAAGCGTTGTTGTTAACTAGTTTACTCCAATTAGGGGAGGGATTGTAGGGTTAGAAAGTAATAAAGGAAAATATATATTTTTATTTCAAAACAAATTTAAAAGTGTTACAGTCATTTCAGTCGCTGTAGTAGCTGATGTGTATAGTGTTGAGTCATCTGCATACATAAACACACTGGCTTTACTCAAAGCCATTGGCATGTCGTTAGTGAATATTTAAAAAAGTAAGGGGCCTAGACAGCTGCCCTGGGGAATTCCTGATTCCATCTGGATTATGTTGGAGAGGCTTCCATTAAAGAACACCCTCTGTGTTCTGTTAGACAGGTAACTCTTTATCCACAATATAGCAGGGAGTGTAAAGCCATAACACATATGTTTTTCCAGCAGCAGACTATGATCGATAATGTCAAAAGTCGCACTGAAGTCTAACAAAACAGCCCCCGCAATCTTTTTATCATCAATTTCTCTCAGCCAATCATCAGTCATTTGTGTAAGTGCTGTGCTTGTTGAATGTCCTTCCCTATAAGCATGCTGAAAGTCTGTTGACAATTTATTTACTGTAAAATAGCATTGTAACTGGTCGAGCATAATGTTTTCCAAAAGTTTACTACGGGTTGGTAACAGGCTGATTGGTCGGCTATTTGAGCCAGTAAAGGGGGCTTTACTATTCTTAGGTAGCGGAATGACTTTTGCTTCCCTCCAGGCCTGAGGGCACACACTTTCTAGTAGGCTTAAATTGAAGATATGGCAAATAGGAGTGGCAATATTGTCTGCTATTATCCTCAGTAATTTTCCATCCAAGTTGTCAGACCCTGGTGGCTTGTCATTGTTGATAGACAACAATACTTTTTTCACCTCTTCCACACTCACTTTACGTCATTCAAAATTACAATGCTTGTTTTTCATCATTTGGTCAGTTATACTCGGATGTATAGTGTCTGGGTTTGTTCTGGATTCCATCTGATCAGACGGCCACATCACTGGGCTAGCTGGCTGGCTGGCTGGCTGGCTGGCTGGCTGGCTGGCTGGCTGGCTGGCTGGCCTCCTCCTTTAGCTCCACTGCCTCATACACCTGCTTCTCTGTGGAAGAGAGGAGGACAGTTAGGGCTAAGGGAGGAGAGAGGCTATCGCCTGACTAAACGACAGCAACTTGGACAGCTAAGATTGAACTGACATAACTAATGTAGGTTTTCGCCTCAACTAGGAGACAGGGCCCTGTATTCATAAAGCATCTCAGAGTAGGAGTACTGATCTAGGATCAGTTTAGCCTTTTACAAAGAATAAATAATAAGATTACATGGACAGGGGGTACCTGATCCTAGATCAGTACTCCTACTCTGAGACGCTTTATGAATACGGGCCCAGTCTCCTAGTTGAGGCGAAAACCTACATTAGTTATGTCAGTTCAAACATTAGTTTTGTCACCCCAAGGGACCTGATGTCCAGGTCTCAGACTAGGTGCTTGTTGTAACTGTATATCACTCAAGGACAGGGTCAGTCGAGCCTACCTTTCTTTGGTGTTTTAAAGAACCTCTGGTGAACCCTGAAGAGGGCGATGAGCAGGAAGGCCTCTCCCACCTGCAACACTATGTAGATTATAGGGAACAGGTAGAGAGGACCAATCACATCGGGAGGGAACGCCACCTTCAGAATGGTGGAACACAGCTGGATGTTCTGACATCCCGTCTCCATGGCGATGGTCCTCTGTCCCCTGAGGAAAGAAGGAAGGAAGTCCAAATAAGGATTGATTGATTGACACGGAATTCTAGCTGAAGTATATAGATTTCTTTCCTCCAAGCATTAGAAATGTACTGAGCTGGAATATACTTTTACTAGAGGAAAAGGAAAAGGAAGATATACAGTACCAGTCAAAAGTTTGGACACACCTACTCATTCAAAGGTTTTTCTTTATTTTTACTGTTTTCTATATTGTAAAATAATATTGAAGACATCAAAACTATGAAATAACACATATAGAATCATGTAGTAACCAAAAGAGTGTTAAACAAATCATATAATATATTTGAGATTTGAGATTCTTCAAATAGCCACCCTTTGCCTTGATGACAGCTTTGCACACTCGTGGCATTCTCTCAACCAGCTTCACCTGGAATGCTTTTCCAACAGTCTTGAAGGAGTTCCCACATATGCTGAGCACTTGTTGGTTGCTTTTCCTTCACCCTGCCGTCCGACTCATCCCAAACCATCTCAATTGGGTTGAGGTCGGGGGATTGTGGAGGCCAGGTCATCTGATGCAGCACTCCATCACTCTCCTTCTTGGTCAAATAGCCCTTACACAGCCTGGAGGTGTGTTGGGTCATAGTCCTGTTGAAAAACAAATTATAGTTCCCACTAAGCCCAAACCAGATGGGATGGTGTATCGCTGCAGAATGCTGTGGTAGCCAGGCTGGTTAAGTGTGCCTTTAATTCTAAATAAATCACAGACAGTGTCACCAGCAAAGCATCCCCACAACATAACACTTCCTCCTCCATGCTTTACAGTGGGAAATACACATGCAGAGATAATCCGTTCACCCACACCGCATCTCACAAAGACACGGCAGTTGGAACCAAAAATCTCAAATTTGGACTCCAGACCAAAGGACACATTTCCACCAGTCTAATGTCCATTGTTCGTGTTTCTTGGCCCAAGCAAGTCTCTTCTTCTTATTGGTGTCCTTTAGTAGTGGTTTCTTTGCAGCAATTCGACCATGAAGGCCTGATTCACACAGTCCCCTCTGAACAGTTGATGTTGAGATGTGTCTGTGACTTGAACTCTGTGAAGCATTTATTTGGGCTGCAATTTCTGAGGCTGGTAACTCTAATGAACTTATCCTCTGCAGCAGAGGTAACTCTGGGTCTTCCATTCCTGTGGCGGTCCTCATGAGAGCCAGTTTCATCATAGCGCTTGATGGTTTTTGCGACTGCACTTGAAGAAACTTTCAAAGTTCTTTACATTTTCCATATGGACTGTCCTTCATGTCTTAAAGTAATGATGGACTGTCGTTTCTCTTTGCTTATTTGAGCTGTTCTTGCCATAATATGGACTTGGTCTTTTACCAAATAGTGCTATCTTCTGTATACCCCCCCTACCTTGTCACAACACAACTGATTGGCTCAAACGCATTAAGAAGGAACACCTGTTAATTGAAATGCATTCCAGGTGACTACCTCAGGAAGCTGGTTGAGAGAATGTCAAGAGTGTGCAAAGCTGTCATCAAGGCAAAGGGTGGCTATTTGAAGAATCTTTTGACTGGTAGTGTATATTTTACTATAGAAAACCTTCACAAGAAATCTATCAACATAATTATAAACATGATCTTCACCATCATCAGCATCATCCTCATCTAAATCTTCATCATTATCATATGTTACCATCATCCTCAACATCATCCTCATCACCGTGACTTACGATCCGTTGAGTCTGAACAGATATGAAAGGACGTATCCGAAGGTGTAGCCAATGAGGGGCATGATGGCAGCAGTGGCCATGAGTGGGGGGGACAGGACGGTCAGCATCAGATCCATTCTTCCTATGGTCATGCTGGCCAACAGGCCGATCACTACCATGGATATCAACAGGAGGGACAGACCGATCTGAGGAGCAGGAAGACGTTCAGCCAAGTACTGCATATTATTATCTGTCTGAAACAACCTGTATCTGTAGCTCAGCTGGTAGAGCGCGGCGCTTGTAACGCCAAGGTAGTGGGTTCGATCCCCGGGACCACCCCATACACAAAAAAATGTATGCACGCATGACTGTAAGTCACTTTGGATAAAAGCGTCTGCTAAATGGCAAATTATTATTATTTATATTATATTGTATCTGTATGTTTTGAATGTTTTGAACTTTTACACTGAGGCCCTTACCAGATTGGTGTTTTTCAAAAAGATTGTAAATCTAACTGTACACCTAACTGTAGAGGACTGCTCCAAAAGATGTTACCCAAAAGGTAGCCTCGAAGCGAACCAGGCTTCCCTAAAACGGGAAGGGAGTTTCCCTAAAACTCCTCCAAGGAAGGCGTGACAACGACGTGATTTTGGAGGTATGGCAACACGAGACTACCCAAAAGCTGACCATTATCGGCCATACCTTAGTAATGGTCTTGGAGTACTGCGGCCTGTAGTAGTTGATGAGGATGCCGATGCTGCAGGGGAACAGAGCCATGACCAGGGCCAGAGTGATGCCAGCATAGGGAACAGCACTCTCCAGGTTGGAGAAGCCCTGGCAGTACAGGTAGAGGAGCAGTGGCATCATACCCAGGGCTAGAACTGTAGAGCAGGTAGTCATCACAATACTGGGGAGGGAGGGAGGGAGGGAGAGAGGGGAGGGAGAGGGGGAGAGGGAGAGGGGGAGGGGAGAGAGAGGAAAGAGGGGGGAGGGGAGAGAGAGGGGGACAGGGGGGAGGAGGGAAGGGAGAGGAGGGGCGAGAGGGAGGGGAGGGGGGAGAGCGAAAGAGAGGGAGGGGGAGAGGAGAGAGAGCGGAGAGAGAGGGGGGAGGGGGAGAGAGAGGGGGGAGGGAGGGGGGGGGGGGAAGAGAGAGGGGACAGGGAGGGAGGGGGAAGGGGAGGAGGCGAGGAGGGGGGAGAGGGGGAGGGAGGGGGGAGAGAGAGGGGGGAGAGGGGCGGAGAGAGAGAGGGGGGGAGAGGGGGAGGGGGGGAGGAGAGAGGGGGGAGAGGGGGCGGACAGGGAGGGAGGGAGGAAGGGAGAGAGAGGGGGGAGAGGGAGGGAGGGGGGAGAGAGAGAGAGGGAGGGAGTGAAGGGGGAGGGGGATCGAGAGCAGGGGGGGAGGAGGGGGACGGGAGGGAGAAAGAGAAAAAGAGAGAGAGAGTAGTTTTTACTGACCTGGCTAGCGTGCTGCTATGGTATCAGAGCCATGCTCATTGTTACATATTGACAGAATGTGGAACAACAGATAGCTGTGGCCATGCTATCACAACCCTGACATTCCTCTATTGGATCAATGCCAAGGGGCCAGTAATCTGAATAGATGGGTTAGCTGACAACGTCAGGAAAAACTAAGCGCAAGCTTCAATGGGGCAGAAGTCCGTGTGTTGTGATTCTGGATAGCCAGATAGCTAGCAACAATGACGTTTCAGCTCCTTGTATCTTGTTCTTGATACCATGTCTTGTTTTGAGGTGTTTTGAATAATGTCACGTATATGCTAATATGGCATACATTCGCTAGTTAGCTAACCAAGAACTGTAACAATGTATTTCTGAGACTCATTGTGCAAATGTAGTTATGTTTTCAACAAACATTTGGAGACTAAATATAGTTTACATGTGGTCAGCAATGTAAGCCAACCCCATCTGTTTTGCCCCATACTTTTGCACGTGTCGGTATTGTTGCTAAGCAACCAACTCGTCTATACTGTAATTTCTGTTGTTCTGTTGAGTGGTGCCTATCTAATTTGTATTTTTTTCTGTGGATAATGTTATGCTTTAAAAAAAATACAGTAAGAAAAATATCTGAAATCTGAATCTATTTGACCTATAGCCTGACAGACAACGCTAGTGTAAATGTAATCTCTGCACCCAGAGTTAGCAGAAGGTCAGTCCTTGAGACAGTCAGAAACAGAGTGCTCTGTCGGATGAGACCTACAGGAGCAGCTAGGAGGAATGTCTCCTGTGTATTTCCATGCCGTAAAGTACATGCATCATGTCCTAATGGAGGTTTCCAGGTACGTTGTGAAACTGAAGGGGTTCATGACCAACCAGGTGGTTAAAAGCAGCATAAAACGTGGGATGGGGTGTCCTGGTGATGTTGATTAATATCTATGATAATTATGTTATGGTCTTGGTCGAGTAGTAAGTGTACAATAGAGGGGTTAGTAATGGCGTAATGGGACCCCATCTCGTCCAAAAAGCACCTGGATGATCATCAAGACTCTTGGAAGAACGCTCTATGGACAGATGATTCAAAAGTATAACTTTTTGGACGACATGGTTCCAGTAATGCCTGGCGAAAACCAAACTCTGCATTCCACAGTAAGAACATCATACCAAAGGTCAAGCATGGTGGTGGTGGTGTGATGGTTTGGGGTATGCTTTGCTGCCTCAGGACCTGGACGACTTGCCTTAATAGAAGGAACCATCAATTCTGCTCTGTATCAGAGAATTCTACAGGAGAATGTCAGACCATCCGTCTGTGAGCTGAAGCTGAAGTGCAGCTGCACAATGATCCAAAACACACAATCAAGTCTACATGAAAATTGCTAAAAAGCAACAAATTGGAAGTTTTGGAATGGCCTAGTCAAAGTCCAGACCTAATCCCAATTGAGATGTTGTGGCAGGACTTGAAACGAGCAGGTCATGCTTGAAAACCCACACGTCACTGAGTTAAAGCAGTTCTGCATGGAAGAGTGGGCCAAAATTCCTCCACTGCGACGTGAGAGACTGATCAACAACTACAGGAAGCATTTGGTTGGAGTCATTGCAGCTAAAGGTGGCACAACCAGTTATTGAGTGTAAGGGGGCAATTACTTTTTCACACAGGGGAATTGGGTGTTGCATAACTTTGTTTATGAAATAAATATGTCATTGTTGTGTTATTTGTTCACTTATGTTCCCTTATTTTCCCTTTATCTAATATTAGGTTTGGTTGAAGATCTGATAACATTCAGTATCACAAATATGCAAAAGTAGAGAAAATTAGAAAGGGGGCAAATACTTTTTCATAGCACTGTATTTGGAAAGTATTCAGACCCCTTGAATTTTTCCTTTTTTTTTACTTTACAGCCTTATTCTAAAATGGATTAAATGTTCCCCCCCCCCCCTCATCAATCTACACACAATACCCCATAATGACAAAGCAAAAACAGGTTTTTAGAAATTTTTGCAAATGTATTGAAAACCACCCTGGAAATATCACATTTACATAAGTATTTAGACCCTTTACTCAGTACTTTGTTGAAGCACCTTTGGTAGCAATTACAGCCTTGGGTCTTCTTGGGTATGACACTACAAGCTTGGCACACCTGTATTTGGGGAGTTTCTCCCATTCTTCTCTGCAGATCCTCTAAAGCTCTGTCAGGTTGGATGGGGAGCGTCACTGCACAGCTATTTTCAGGTCTCTCCGGAGATGTTTGATCGGGTTCAAGTCCGGGCTCTGGTTGGGCCACTCAAGGACATTCAGAGACTTGTCCCGAAGCCACTCCTGCGTTGTCTTGGCTGTGTGCTTAGGGTTGTTGTCCTGTTGGAAGGTGAAATTTCACCCCAGTCTGAGGTCCTGAGCGCTCTGGAGCAGGTTTTCATCAAGGATGTACTTTGCTCCGTTCATCTTTCCCTCGATCCTGACTAGTCTCCCAGTCCATGCCGCTGAAAAACATCCCCACATCATGATGCTGCCACCACCATGCTTCACCGTAGGGATGGTGCCAGGTTTCCTCCAGACTTGATGCTTGGCATTCAGGCCTAAGAGTTCAATCTTGGTTTCATCAGACCAGAGAATCTTGTTTCTCATGGTCTGAGAGTCCTTTAGGTGCGTTTTGGCAAACTCCAAACGGGCTATCATGTGCCTTTACTGAGGAGTGGCTTCTGTCTGGCCACTTTACCATAAAGGCCTGATTGGTGGAGTGCTGCAGAGATGGTTGTCCTTCTGGAAGGTTCTCCCATCTCCACAGAGGAACTCTAGAGCTCTGTCAGAGTGACCATCGGGTTCTTGGTCACCTCCCTGACCTCCCTTCTCCCCTGATTGCTCAGTTTGGCCGGGTGGCCAGCTCTAGGAAGAGTCTTGGTGGTTCCAAACTTCTTCCATTTAAGAGTGATGGAGGCCACTGTGTTCTTGGGGACCTTCAATGCTACATAAATGTTTTGGTACCCTTCCCCAGATCTGTGCCTCGACACAATCCTGTCTCGGAGCTCTAAGGACAATTCCTTCGACCTCATGGCTTGGTTTTTGCTCTGACATGCACTGTCAACTGTGGGACCTTATATAGACAGGTGTGTGCTTTTCCAAATCATGTCCAATCAATTTAATTTACCACTGGTGGACTCCAATCAAGTTGTGGAAACATCTCAAGGATGATCAATGGAAACAGGATGCACCTGAGCTCAATTTCGAGTCTCGTAGCAAAGGGTCTGAATACTTATGTAAATAAGGTATTTCCGTTTTTTATTTTGAAAAAATTAGCAAAAATATCTAAAAAACTGTTTTTGCTTTGTCATTATGGGGTACTGTGTGTAGATTGATTAGGGGAAAACATAATTTAATCCATTTTAGAATAAGTCTAACGTAACAAAATGTGGAAAAAGAGAAGGAGTATGAATACTTTCCTAATGCACTGCATATATATATATATCCAATTGGGGAACCCTGATCTATGTCGATGTAAGCCAGGTCATTCAGCTCTGTACTAACGGGGTGATTACCAAGGCACTAATGTACAGTACCAGTCAAAAGTTCGGACACACCTACTCATTCAAGGCTTTTTCTTAATTTTTACTATTTTCTACATTGTAGAATAATAGTGAAGACATCAAAACTATGAAATAACACGTATGGAATCATGTAGTAACCAAAAAAGTGTTAAACATATCAAAATATATTTCACATTTTAGATTCTTCAAAGTAGCAACCCTTTCCCTTGAGGACAGCTTTGCACACTCTTGGCATTCTCTCAACAGGTGTGCCTTGTTAATGGATGTTGCTGTAGGCTAATCACCACTGCCCCCGAAGCAAGCACCAGTTAGCCTTGAGCTAGCCTCGAGCAGGCCCATATCCCGGCTATCTACCTCTCTGTCTACCGGACGGGAGTAGCCAGCTAACCAGCTAACTAGCAACTTGCTATTAACCACCGTTAGCGGTTTTTCACCATTGTCCGTGGCCTGCACTACCTACCAGCCAGCTCTAGCCTGGACTATTATCGGCCAGTCTGCACTGTCTGCACAGCGCGTTATTGACTCAGAACCTTTCCGATTTTCTGCCGGAATCACTGAATCACTGGACCTTTAACACTGGCTAATCAAACTCCAGAGTGGCGCAGTGGTCTAAGGCACTGCATCGCGGCACTAGCTGCGCCACTAGAGATCCTGGTTCGAATCCAGGCTCTGTCGTAGCCGGCCGTGACCGGGAGACCCATGGGGCGGCGCGCAATTGGTCCAAGGGTAGGGGAGGGAATGGCCGGCAGTGATGTAGCTCAGTTGGTAGAGCATGGCGTTTGCAACGCCAGGGTTGTGGGTTCGATTCCCACGGGGGGCCAGTATGAAAATAGGTATGCACTCACTAACTGTAAGTCGCTCTGGATAAGAGCGTCTGCTAAATGACTAAAATCTATAATCGCAACTAGCTAGCTG